ATAACCAACACGATGTGCCTAAAAACAGTATCTATTATTAGTTTGCTATAGTTGGTGTGCTTTAAACTTCGGAAGCTATAACTGTGATTGTTATAATGCTTATTAATCGGGAAACTTAAGATATTTGACCAGGAACATTTATAAATTTCAACCATTACAAACCATTTCACTTCAGAGGATTCACATTTGACATTAGGACTTTTACGAAAACATTACCAAACTTCAATGGTGGAAAACTCGGCAAAGAAAACAGAGCTAGCTAGCTCCATGTTAAGTGAATTGTACCTACATCAACTCAAAATTAACTCGCTCATCATGAACCCTCAATAAGATATCAAGGAAGTTCCAGACTAGAAAGAAGAGTTTATATTGCTTGTAAGTTTGTAAAACTTTTGTATATAAATCATTGTTTGCAATAACTATTTGTAATAACTGTTATTTTAAATTGTATTGTTGTTTACATATTAAAACATATTTGTATTAAAAAAAAAGAAAACTGTGTGTATCAATCTTGTTGGCAAATATCATAAACTGGATATATATTGGCATGTATTTAACAACTAAATTTAAATTATCATTTAGCTCAGTTTCAGACCATTCAAAACTTTAATAAATAACAATAGGTACAAATAGGGATCACAATAAGACAACTAGCAATGAAAAAAAGAGATATATGGGATGAAAAATAATTCCAGAATCCCAGTCACTACCAACACTGCAATAGTTCTTCTCAGGGCTTCTTTGTAGATGGCAGCAGATTACCAGCCAAAATATATCATTATATCTAGTTAATAATTAGTATTTAGTTATATATGTAAGCTACTAATCACGATAACGATTTATTCCTCCAGTTAAAATTAGTTGTGTTTTCAGTAATATTCCATATTTTTTATTAATATAACTTAAGGCAAATATCTTCCATCAAATTTATTATATAAACCTTCTATCTATGGTATTGATCAACCTTGTTCATTGATAGGTAGTTGGAATGTTTCAATTTTACAGCCAACATATGTGAAATTAACCCAGATAATGTGTTTATTTTTTCTCTGTAACATATAAAATAACCTAATTAAATAATATAGTATTTTGATTCTTGATTTTTGGCTATAACAATGGTCACTGGATTTTTATACTTTCAATAGCCTTACTTTATAGTTCTGAAAGAATGATGTTATATATTTGAGTTGGATAAAGAAAACACATATGCTTTCTAGTGAAATATGAGCAATTATCAAGGGAATGGTTGGGCTTGATATCTGTAACTTTACCAAATGTATTGCATTATAATTAATTTTTTTGTATTTTTTTTTTTTAAGTACAATGTCTTTTACTTTAAGATACATTGTTACTCAATTTGTTACAGGTAAATATAACAGTGCAGGGCTATGAGTAGTTCTGAATATTATTTGAGGCAATAAATGGTTATATATGACTTAACTGGAAAACTATTAAAAGAACAACTACCTATAAAACCTTACCATGATCAATAGTAAGAACTTTTCTTGTCTGCATTTTAATGAATTCATCAATTGGTAAACGTGCATGGCTTATTCCCTTTTCTATTGCTTTTCTGTAACATAAACCCTACAAGAATAAAGTTTTGAAACACTAATAACATTTTCTTTTTGAAAATGTAAAATTAGTTTTCACTAGTAATGCAAATAAAAATGTGAGAGTAAGATTATAGTAAAATAAAAAAGAATGATTTTACACATAAAATAATAATTCAAATAATACTCTAAACACAAAACAAACATGAAAAGACATAAGAAACCTAAAACAATTAATTAACTAATGGTTTAAATTTTCAACCCAGTTTTAACTTAATTCAAGCAAACTAATCATATTTACATGGTGAGCCCAACAGAAGCCTCCACCAACCTTAAACAGATGAATTCATGAGTAATATTTAATAAAATTATTTGAAAATGCACTCTTGAAAAGTTTATGGTAACATCAAATCAATATTTTGTTCAATTTAGTACTTCATCTGCTCTTTGGCAGTGTTAAGATTAAAAAAAATTTATTCTAGTAGAGAGATGCGAGCCAGAAAATCTCTTAATCTTATCTAGGGTAGACTAGAGTTAATATAAAAAAGTGTGTCTTAAGGTTGTATATATACTGAACCGCAAAAGAAACGTCGCAGTAATTAGAGGAAAAAATTATACAAGAATGAATGCCATATTTTTATTGAATGAACGTATACAAACCAAAGTTATTGCACAAATTCGCATCATTACAATTCATTCACTGTTTATTGATAAAGTTTTTCACCACAATATCACCAGATCAATAAATACACA